TCTGGCTGCCGGCCAGGGTCAAACCACCACATAAGTGTATGAGAAGATGTTGATTCATGAAACTGGCTAAGGATGCTAATCCAGAATTTAATAGTATTTCTATTTCTTTTATTTTCACAGAAATTGATCAGTTAGAATAAAATTAAATTGTTGAATCTCATGTACAAGCGCATGTATACTGAGTAATACCCCAGCTACTGCAACAGGCATCAGATTTAAATTTCTGAAGAATGTCTTACTGGGGGCTAATAGCCATTTTTACCTATCCGTCTAGTTTAATGCTCTTTTAAATGTCGCATCCTTAAAAAACAGCCAAATCAAAACCTATATGCTTAAGACATTCTTACCTGGACAAGGTTCACAGTGACTACTTTCAGGTCCTTCTCACAATGGCTTTTACAATATAGGTACAAGTCCTTCTACTGTATATGTATTCAAGTCCTATATTTCCAAATTGACAAGAGGGCTCTTGATAAGCTAAATGAGATATCCTCCTCTCGTTTGAGGTAGAAGAGTTTAGTAATATTATTTACTAATATTAATAGAAATTGCATCTGCAATACTAAAATATGAATGCTCATACTTGATCAAATTTCAGATGCATCTAGTCCAGGGCCCTGTTACTGACAGTGATCCACCGTGAATAATAGACAAGAAGAGTATGGGAAGGTGTCATGCAGAGGCATTCACAGATACATGGGACTTCATTTGCAGGAGCAGAGCAAAATTTTTTTGTAAAAGCCATTAACATACAGTTATGTCACTGTTTACCAAAAAGAACAGCTGGCATAGCTGAGGAAGTACTGGGCCTGTTGTGAATGCTGCTAGAAGACTTTAAAGGTGTTCTTTAGCACTAAATCGTATTTCCAAATGATCAAGTTCCAGTGAGTTAAACACATTGATTTCCTGTTTTGGTGATCAGTTAGGCATATTTTCTGGAAAGGAGGCTGTTGATAAAGGGAAATATTTAATATTGGCCTCTTGGTTGAATGAATCTTAATCTTTGCTATGAAAAGCAATTTTGTTTGTTATGAAATTTTGTTTTGTTCTTAATGTTTTCATATTTTTAAAAGCGCATTTCAGATTACAACATAGGGATATGAAAGAATCCATCATATGGTAATATTTGCTGAATATCTATGCATAATATTGAAGTTCTTGTGCTAAATGTGTAGCATCAAAATTATTCAGCAATTGAAGTAAAATGTGTTTGCTTTGCTAAAGCAATTTTATCATAGTATCACATTATATGATTATTTTTCATGCTCACAGCTAACAGAGATCCTATAGTGAAAATTCTTGGCCCTGAATATGGGACTGTTGAAGGAGAAGATATGTCCATGCTGAATTTACTTGACAAAATGAAAATAGGTGATGATCCTGAAATAGAGATGAAAATGAAAATCAATCTTCTTCTTCATCAGCTGGATTTGCAACTGCTTAATAGTTTTTGGAAACAAATTTCAAAGTAAGTGCATTTCAAATGGAAGCTAAGCATGTCGGCCAGTGCATTTTTTTTTCGTTTTATGGTTAAATCAGATTGGTTTCAACCCACAACATGTGCTTTTGGTGTGACATAAAGAAATTTATTGAAATAACTTTCACAGTTCACTAATTATTGAAAAAACATTTTTTTTCTGAAGATTTTGCTGTAGGTGGGGGCATGCAAGTGTGTGCCCATGAGTGTGTTTTTTCTTGCATATGTTTTTTGTTTTGGTAGCAAATTGAAGTCATTTGTACAAACAACAAAACTACACTTAAATATTTTCAAGGAAATATTTGTTTCTTCATGGAAGCATGTTAAGTATTACACTAAGTCTGTTTTATTGTTATAAGGACTTCATACTAGATGTAAAACGAAAATTTCACTAAGCTAATAGATAAAATTAGAAACACAATGGAAGATGACCCATTTCCAGGTTTTTGTTGCTACTATTACGATTCAATGTAAAAGAAAAAACATATAATATTCTCTTTTCGTTTCTCTGAGTGCTTCCTTTTGCTGAATACGTTTTAGACCATTTTCTATTAATTGCAGAGATGCAAGACTAAATGCAACTGCTGTAAATAATGAAGTGAATCTTCTCATGAATTTCTCTGGGAAAGGAGAAGATACAGTCCTGGAATCCCTGGAATATACATCAGGTCCAGATCTGATCATATCTCATGTTTATTTATACTCATATTGAAGTACTCGACTTCTGTATGCAATTTGCTACATTAATTTCATTAGCGAATTTGAAGTGTTTATTTCTACTTGAAAGTTATTATATGAAATAAAATGTATTTTCAGTTCTGGAATGCTGTTCTTCAGGTTTTAGTTATAGAAATAATCTCCAGTCATATCAATTTCTTCAGTGGAAGCAGAGGAAGTAAAGTGAGTCCCTGATCCTGGAAAGTACTAAGCACAGATGCAATTCTTAATTGGATCAGGCCACAGAACTTTGCATGATTAATTCCTAACCCTGTATGAATTCTTAAGAGTAAGATACTGTTTTGGAAATTTTATTTGTATACATGTTACATTAATGATCAAGCATAACTATTAAAAATACCTTTAAATTGGATGAAAACACTCATGCTAATTGGTTACAGATTACGTATTCTCTAATGGATGCCGAGCTCCTCCCTGGAGACAACTGCATGGAGAAATTTGTTATTTAGTCATCAAGCCACATGACACTGATCCTTTGTGTATCACTTGCAGCACAGCAGGAGTGTTTTTAAATGGAGTAAGTAATAATGAAGGATTCTGTGGGGTAATGAATATTTTTCTGTGCTAAAATCAGAAATCCATCAGGTTTAGGGTAGTGATGTTGAGGCTGTAAGACCTGCAGAGTTAGTTTATTGGTAGAGAAGAAGATGCAGCAATACATGTCTGCTATTTTTCCTATATGTTTTGAGTGCTTCTGTAAATTTTATACTAGGAGTGTACTCAGCAGTTTTTGCTTGCGATGTTTATTTAGTCTTCAAACATGTCCTAAAGTCCTTCACACTATTCCTGTTTAGAAGTACTGTGGGACTAGATGCCTCTCTAGTGCCCCATTGCTCTTGATCTGCAGTGTTGTTGTGTGGGGCTAATACAGCTTGCTTTTTGTCTTTTTATAAATGATACGCAGTTATTTCTCCTTTAAGTGGAAGCTTTTCAGGAATTATTTCTCTGTTCTGCTTTCATTTTGATTACCTGTTTACTTACAGATAAGTTTTAGTTAGACATAATCTGTGTTACTTGTGACCTTATATGTGTTAAGCAGTGACATTTATTTTGAAGAGAGACGGATGCCTGGCAGGCACAAATTGATTTTGTAAGATTTTTTAAAAAAAATCCAGGGAAATTTTGACTTAGCACATTTTTGATGGATGAAGCTCATAAAACTTTGGCTAGTCAGGTCCCATTATTTTCTGTTCCTTTTAGGCATCTGCCATACTGCACTCTTATTTACTTGTTTGTTTGCCATAAGCCATAAATTCTCTTCAGTGGCACTATGCACAGTGCAATTAATTGATAGTAATTACTTGCAGAATTTAGTGTAATAACTTGATTATCTGTTGGGATCCATGGAAATGATCCATACATCTTTACAAAGCATAGTTGAAGTCTGATGAACTCTAATGATCATGAGACTTCTGTACGTAATTCATTGCAGCCTAATGTGATTCTGTGACCTCTGCTCTTTAGCACTGTCTTATGATGTACATTGAATTACGTGTGTAAGGCAATACCGTTAATAATTTTAAATTTATTCTTCTTTTAAGGGTCAGAAGAAGGGTACAGATTACATTGACTATGAAAGAAAAGGTGACATATATAAAGATATTGTCACATTTTTAAGGGAGAAATCTCCTAGATTTGTAGAAAATATGGCTAAACAGGTATGTATTTACTAATACCGCATGTATATTCCACATTGTACAAATGTACATTGTACATTGGTAGGAGTTACATTACATTACATAGCTGAACGTTTGTGTTCTTTATCAGAGAAATTTGTGATTAAATGAAGAATTTCGGAGACTCTGAAATGCTTGCTATTTTTCTCTAGCTTTGTTTCAGTTTCTACTAAATGTACTCCTTTTGTAAATAGCAAGTAATACACTATTTCACATATCGTTCTATCATACGTTATTAGAAGGTTTGATCCGACATGTGAGGTCAGTTTCCAATTCTGCATAAAAAATTTTGCTGATCTTCATTTTGCTCATCTTCTGGTGTTGCTCTTTATGGAGCACTGGAAATGTTAAACCAGGAAAATATGATATCCTCACAGAAAAGGTCAGCATTTTATGACAATATTTTTCTGTGATCAAAACCACTTTCATGTTAATCTTCATTCTTTGTAACACAGTTAAAATAATAGCCTGACTTTTTTTATGAGAAATGCCTGATTTAAATATCAGAGCTGGGAGTTAAGCATCCAGCTTGTACACTATATATGGCTTCAGCCACTGTAAAATGCAAGTGTTTTGGCTTGTATTTAGAGCTCCATGTTAGCTAGAATCCCAGAGTGCCACTACAATTTTAGTTGTTTGCTTACTCCTGCTAAAACCTCTTTTTTTCGGGTTTCTATTGTGGTTATGCTAGGTTAATAACTTGGTGCTAAAATTCATTACAGGCTAAAAGCTGTCAAAAGTTTTATTTTGACTGTATATGTGGAATTTTAATTATTGCAAGAAGGAAGTTATTAACACGGGAATTTTCTTTAGTTCTGATTTTCTGGGATGTAGGGCTGTTGGGTTTTTTTTGAGATACGGATATTTGAGAGTTCTGAAAGAACAGAGCATTTCAAGTTGTACACATAAATACAGGAGCTTATGTTATCAGTAATGGAATTAAATTTGTTAGTTGTTCTGTTTGAAAGTGCAGTTAAGTTCCAAAATGTGTTTTATTTGTCCTATAGGCAAGTATTTCAAAAATGTTTTATGTACCTATTGGTTTACATGTTATAAATTGGGTAATGTATTAATGTTTTTAGACATAGTTATGGGCTTAATGTATTTTCAGAGTGATTTATCTTCGTTTGATAGTCATGAAATATAAAATATGGCAATATTTTCATAATTTTTAAAGTTCTAATCCTAAATGTTAATATAGATAATAGAGATAATATACCTTTCTTCTGCTCTTATAAATATACTGTAGCTATTCAAGAAATGTGTACAGTTATTGAATAAGAGTAAATAAATAGAATTTATCCTATTTCCCTCCAGTTGTCAAATAAATTACTTAATATGTTTATGCTGAAGCATATAAATTATACCATTTTAATGGTTTAGGAATATCATATCGTATTGCCTTGCTGAAGAGCTGGTTTAGTACATTCTGCATTCTAAAACTAGAATTTAAACAGGTTAATAATGTAGGGCTGCAGAGCATTTGTACTTGAGGGAAAATTTTCTCTAGAACTCTGGAAAGCAGAGAAAAGCTGTATTTCCAAGGTTGCCTACATGAAATAAATTATGACTGGAAATAGTCTTCATTAAAATAAATCAAGACTATTTCCAGTCATAATTTATTATGAGAGGAGGGGAGAGCTTCAAAAAGCTCATTACATACCCATAGGTTGCAGACCCCGTTAATTTGTATAGTGTCTCTTGGCCTTGTTCAAGCTGACTTTTAGAATTGCTGTGCTGGCGTGTAGTGCTGTAGCAAACGTACTTTTTAGCATGTGCTTAGCTACCCAGGCTACGGCATCAGCTCCCCTGTGACTTGTGTAGTTTGCCATGTGTTTAGTTGTCTTGTCTAGAGCCATTTTCAGAACCAGAGAATTCGCATGAATTAGTTTATGAGCTGACAGTTGGGTCAGCAAGCCTGAAACAGCCGATTCACATCAGGGACTGGTTGAAAACAGCCCGTACTGTGACAGTCTCCTTAAAACTGCCTTGACTCAGAAACAGAAAGGAATGTCTTCACCTATCTGGTAGTGACAGCTGCAATAATAATAATAAGTAATGATCATATGCTGTCTTTCCTGTAAAAATTGAATATGGTCTAATAGAGAATAAGAGTTGACAAGAGTCCTTTCTGTTCTGGGTATTTTTGATCGGCCATGGACAGCTGAAGGATTGGTAGGTGCCACTCATGTCCATTCTTCTGTGTGGCTTGTTCAGCAATGTTTTGTCCTGAGAGACAGAAGATGAAAAAACTGAAATGGAATGTGTTTATATTAACTCTAAACTATATCAAATTAAATTACTTGGAACTGAAGTCTAGCAGTTAATCATAGCCTATTTTCAGTTTTATGTTCATTATTTTTGTGGGAATTTTTTGTAAATCCTTTATGCAGGGAAATAGTTTTTATATAAATGATCCATTGAATGCAGAATGACTGACTTCGCAATTCTAGACCTTAAAGCATTGAGAATTAAGATCTATAAATGTGCTTGTTTCACAAATTATTTAACTGTTTAATTATTAGAAATTGAACATCCAACATTTGAATATGTTCAAGAAGTTCCAAATTTAGTTAATTAATTTATTTTAAAAATTTCAATTTGCACATAGTAACAGCTACTTTCTGTATTAACGTTTCCTTCTTTTAAAGGCAATCTGATTTTATCCTTATAATGTAATTCTATGTTTAATGCATGCAATTTTTAAGCAGAGCATCCTGGAACTGTGCTTATAACTTATTGCTTTAATATGCATTATTCATATAGCAACATGACTGACAAACTATGACTCTTTCTTTTATTAGCAACATAATTTTTATGAAGAACCAACATATGAGAAGAATTATCAGCGTATGGAAGTAGTTGATGCTAAGGTCTCTGGCCAACCCCTGAATCTTAATGATTTTACAAAAAAGAATGTATGTGAGAAAGTGAAAAGTTCTGCAGCAAGACAAGGATCTGTTGACAAGAAGAAATTAGAACCATCTGTGAAGAGCAAGAATACTGGGCTTTCTGCTTCCCACAGATAAGTAGTTATCTTTATAACTGAATGTTCCTATGGATCTCTCTGAACTGCTTATGATTGGACTGCATGTTAAAGGTTTGCATTATTGTCTTAAATTAGGAGCAATAGAACAAAATTTACTACGTGTTAATTTCGAAGAAGAGAGTAGGGACTACCAAAGAGATCTTTCAGTTTTCTTCTGTCATGCAAAAAGTTTGATGATTTTATTTCCACAGCAAGGCAGAGAAATATCTTGTAACCATCTACGGTAATGATCCTCCAAGACTGATGTTATTGTATTTTTGATGTAAAAAGCCCTTTAAAGCAAGTCGAAGTAGATGATCTGATCTAAACCACCTCTCTGAGGGAGGCAAAAGAGATCCAGGATGGGAAATGAGCATGAATTTTATTTATACTACCAATTTTTAATGATTTAATATTATATAAGCCAGTATTGTAGCTCTACATAGCAACAAACTTCACTAACGACATTACCTCCAAGTTTGGACACCCAAAACTCAAAGAGTATCTGTATATTGGATATTGTTGGATTTGTCTGCTGAAATCAGAACTCCATTCTGATATCATGTTTCCTGATTTGTGTTAATGAAGGTAGAAGAGTATCTGAAGAAAAGGCTTTGATTACCATCCTAAAAAAAAAGAAAAAAAGAAGTCTCTTCACAAGTCTGCCAATTTTGCATATTGCAAGAAACATTTTAAGATATATTGGATGTGACCTGTAGTCATCAGTTAAAAAAATGTGATTTTCCAGAGACAGGAGCTTGTGTTTTCCCATAGTCATTGTTAGAGCCTAGATGTACTGAAATTGGCTGTAGTCATGAGTAGCATTTTCTTTTATTGTTGTGACTGTGATTGTATGACCAGCCCAGACTTGAAAGAACATTTTGTTTTCACAACATTGTAAATTAGGAACAAAAAAAGCACTGGAGATTGTGCCCAGCTAGGACTAGGAGTCCTCTTGGAATATGAGGGAAGAAAGGTATATTGTATTGAGCATGATCAATGCTATGGAACCACTTAGTGTGTGGAAGAGCTAGGCAGACCAGACCTCTTCTGCCTGGAAAAAAAGATGACTGGGGCACAGTCCAACAGATACAAAAAACTATGACCGGAGACAGTAAATAGGGAGCTGATAGTCACTGTCTGTTCTAATACAAGAATAAAGGTCATCAAATGAAAATAAACCAGTGAGACCAGAGCAAAGGGAGGGACTTTTTAATCTGACACGTGGCTAAGCTCTCAAAAATTTTGCCACAGGATGGTAGAAGCCCTTTGTTTATTTGAGTTCAGAAAGCAACCAGACACATTCACTGGAGAAAAAGACATCCAAAACTGCTGATGCAAAGATGATCAGGAGTCCCCTGAATCACAATGAAGGATATTTGGGAAAAAATAATTTCCTTGTTCTTCTCCTATTACCTAGATAGCTGCTGTCGGTCATGGTTGGAGATGGTATCCCAGGATAAATGGACCTGTGGTCTGTCTGCATATACTGATTATTTGTTCTTATATCACATACAGTTCAGCATAAGATAATTTTTCTAATATTCCACAATTTTGTTAAGGAAATGAGTCACTTAAGACACAGCATACTTTCTGTTTAATTAATTTTATTGTGTAGGTTCATAAGCTCATATGTACTGGTATCGTGTATGTCCATATCGTATATGCTTTTTGGTTCTTTGTATATATATAAAAATTATTTTTTTTTAACAAAATGGAGCATTTTAGTGACAAGGCTGCAAAAGAAGACACTAAAGAAGAAAGGAGAGTGGATAATGTGTATCTGAAAAGCAAAAAGAAAGCCAGTTGCATTTCTTCTGAGCCTGTTAAAACACAACCAGATTCAAAATGGTATGGGTTACTTACTTTTCTTCCCTTAAGATTTTTATGTTTCATATCCACAGTAATTATCACCATACTTTGTATTTGGCAATGTCAGTTATATTGGTTTAGTTCTGATATTAGGCAATGTTGTCATACCTGTTTAAAGTGTGCTTGTTCATATTAGTTTATAGCTGTGTAACACAGATGATGCTGTTTATTTTTAGTAAAACATCAGGCAGGGTTGAAGACGTTAGTGAAAGTTCCTCAGAGACCGAGACAGATGAAGAACAGCCTGCACGTCGGCGGAAAGCAAGCACTGATATGCCATCAGAATACTGGGAAATTCAGAAACTTTCAAAATATTTGATAGTAAGTAAGAAGCGTTTATGAATTTTCTTTAAAAATTTTTAGAAAAGCTACTCTTTACCTTTTGCATCTGAGGACACCAGACCAGGTCCTCATCCTTTCCACCTTCCACGTATTTTAGACTAGCCCTGCTATGTACTGTGTTCAAATCCTGGCACTGTGGACTTTATTTCTCCTGCATTTTTTGATCTGCTAATTTTGGCTTATATAGACCCTTAGATTAAACCATCAGTGTGGTGTTACTTAAAACCTAAGATGGTATAATTTCTTTATTAATTATTGGGTTTCAGGTTTGGTTTTTGAGCAAAACTTTCCAAGATACTTCTTTATGTGGATAATAACTTTCAAGAGTTTTTATTAAAACTAAATACTTGCCTAAAGTCTTTCATCAGCTAAAATTAATCCTTAACTGAAGTAATTCTAAAATGATCTTCTGACTGGAGAGATGCAGTTAGTGGACAAGAAAAAGTATGATAAACAGGCATTCTCTAAAACAGCAAAGAGGTTTTTTACACAGACTTGTTGAAAATCTTTTGGAACTTATTAATATAGATGTTTAGAATTCCATGTGTGTCTGAAACATGTAAAAAACCCAACAACCCTCTACTATTCTGGAAAACTAAAACTAATTATGTTTTTCCCTCAGGACAAATTCCTTTACAAGTTTGTACTGGAACTTATGTACTGTAAGTTACTAATAAAAGCTCTGGTTTATTCATTTTTTTGAGTACAGCTACAGAGTATACACATCTGAATGATAAAATGATGGTGCTGGCATTTGGTATAGCAGAAATACTTGTGAGGAGTAAGCAAGGCTTTGGCTCCTTCCAGTCCTTTAACTGGTTTAGAAGAGTAACTCAGGTTTCAGTGCACTCACACTGCTTGTTCTCATTTCATGGGGCCTGTGCTAGTGGTTGTAGCCCAAGAGGCACAAAAAAGCACAGACCATACAGGTCTTTCCATCGTTCTTTGTGCCTTATCTTTTGTAGGTTGGACCTCTCTATTCTTGTCATTTGAGCTCCGCTAAAATAACCCTTTGCCTGTGGAATGTGGTGTGACTTCCAGCATGTAACTTGCTCGGCTATCCACTAATGCTGAGCACACCGTAGACACATTTTGCACGATACCGCTGGTTCGATTTACATATAATTACAATTCAAAGTGTTCTGTTCAAATCTGTCAGTCTGCTAATAGCTTGCTTCTGTCTGTCTTATGGACCACCTCTTTGTACTTTTATGAGAGCTCAGAGAAGTTACCATGCTGCTTTTTAGTAAAGACCCAAGGTCCTCCTGCAGAGGACAGTTGAAATTCATTACTGTTGATGAACTCCCAGAAGCCTTTCCGTTGGCCCGTTTGTGGACCACCCTCTTTACTGACAAGGCCCTTCTCTCGTGGTTACATAATTTCCAAACTCCCTTTCCTCTCTAGATCCTTCACATAGTCATGTTTAGATATTAGTATTGGACTTGATTCAATGCTGAAACATATCTGCACTTGTATGAAACCATTCTGAATGAAGAGTGGGAATGGCAAATAGGAAAATTTATTTTTTGTACTCCTCTGTTTTAGATATGAGGATATTTTTTCCAGCTGTCAACAAGCAAAATTACTTAATGGCTTAGAACTAGAAAAAAAAAGGGGAAGATTTTTGATCAAATTATGAGTACCCATTAAGAAGTGTTTATAATACCAAATCCCATAATATGTGAGAGTTATGAAAATTTAAATGTATTCTTGTTTATATATTCATGCACACCTGAGCCTTCCAGTAGTTCTTTAAATTAGATATAAATTAAACAAAGTACTTGAAGATATACTTTAAATAGTTCTCTGTTGATTCTTAGCTACGTAAAGCAAGAAATCCCTAGTGTCAGATAAAGCTGCAAAGAGATGCCTCAGTGCCATACCACAGACAGTGGTTGAAATGTTTTATTGATGGAGTGCTACTTTAGCTTTGCACATGGAATTCATTTTAATTCAAGTATAAATACTGCACTTCTGGCCAGACTTAGGAGATTTTTTGGCGTTCTTGTTGTTCATGTAGGCAAGTGTTCGTGACACATGCAACATAGAGAAAATAAATTTATGACTGTGATATTTAAGTATATACAAGCATATTTATATAGAAGCAGAAATCTCAGGGGGCTTGTGTGTCTTCAAAGGTTGTATACATCGCTTGTACATCTTAAGAAATTAATAAAATGCCATAAATAATAGCTATTTGAGATACCAGGTTAAGAAATGCAATAGTTTGTAGGAGCAACCATTTCTGAATATCTGCTAAAGTGAATGTGAATCGCAGTTCAGCAGGACTCTGTAATAGATCATTTTGCAAACATGAAACTTCCATAAAACCTGAAAAATACTTAGTTTTTTACCCATGTTAGATCATTGTTAGAACTTCAAAAGATGGTCAGTTCCTGTATAAAGGAAATTTGCTAAATCCTGTGAACTCTGCCTGTAGGCTGTGGATTCGTAGACCTCTTCCTGGAGAGAAAATTCCAGTACAGCAGAAATTCCCTTCTGACTTTTTGCCCTTCTCCATTCCCCCTCCTTTCTGGGAAAGGGCAGCCATGTTGCAATTGCTGCGCTGGGAAGCAGCTGCTTCTGTGGTCTGGCTCCTCATCCCACCGTCAAGCTTCCCAGGGCTGTGAGACACAAGACAGGGCGTGTGTGCTCTTGCCGTGTCTCCCTATCGACGCAAGAATGGGCAGCGAAGACAGACCGATGAGCTTGGGGATTACATTGCATTGGGCATCTTTTGGGGCTAGAATAGATAAAATTGGAACAGATTCACTCAGGAGAGCCTGCTTCGTATACCATTTTGTTTGTTAAAGTAGTGCTTCTGAAGTGTTAGATTTCTAGAGGAAGGACTACATTTTACATGTGAAAAGAAGTTTAGGAATGGAGTGGAGGAGTCACATTTTATAAATATCTTTTTACTGGAAATGAGGAACATTAGGTAGAAGTGCAGAATCTTCTTTGGAGCAGGGATGTTCACTGAAAATAAAGGAAGAAAAACAGAGCTCGATGCAGTGCTTTGTGCTGCCTGCTGTTGCACACTGATTATTCCAGTTTTAAGATAAAATTGAGATGTCGAGAGGTGAATTGGGACTGGTGACTGTGCTAGGAATAACTCCAATCTCCAGAATAAGTCATTAATCTCTTAAGCTCTTGTGCTACTTGGTTTTGTTTCCCTGTAAGGGTGTGATTTATATGTACCCCTATGCCAGGGTGAGCTCTGGATAGAGTTCTGCAGGACTGCGTCAGTTACAGAATTCCTCCTTCATTTTGTTACCTGGCAAGTCGTTTTACTTTTGACTATATTTCAGGGGTACACTAGTGAAAGCAGTCAAATCTCGTGCTTCGTGTAAAACATCCACTAATTTCCTAGCTGGTTGGAATTCCTCCAGTTCGAATGACCTCATTCCCAGAGCAGCCCTGTGGACAAACCTGCTGTCTCTCCCCAGCGGGTTGCATCTTGCCCCAGGTGCGGGAGCTGGGGAGAGGCCGTGGTGCTGCCCAGGAGCTCGGGAGGGGGTGCCCTGGGTATGGCCTTCAGCACCAGCTCCCAGGTGCCCGGGTGCTACAGAGCAGCAGATGGCTGGGAACAAGGGCATCTATCATGTGACTCAGTGAAATCTCATTCACCAGACAAGGAGAAGGTTGCAAGAACTGTGGGATACACTGAGTGTGTTCAGATCTGCTCCACAGCCGCATTTTGGCAGGACCTTTGGAGGGCTGCTGCCCTCAAGCAACGTTTCTGAAGCTGGCAGGAGGGCCCTCTGTATTGGGCTTACATTACATAAAAATGGCAAACAGACCAGGGAGGTAGAAATGTACAGGAGTATTCCTTCTGGTCTTTGCCTCTTCCCCTTTCTTTCTGCCCATCTTGCTCTAAAAGTCCTCACTTATTTCTAGCCAACTGGATCAAGGAAGTGAAAATCTTAAGAGATCGAAATTTTGGGTCTGGTTGTTAGAGTGCCTGTGCTGCAGTGAGTGTTGGCTGGGCAAGTCCTACTGCCCATCACTTCTGCTGCCCCTTTGTGGTGTGAGCAGAGCTGAGCCAGGAGGATGTAGTATGGCTGCTGCACCACAGGCAGTTTATTTCTTCCTCTCAGGAAGCTCAAATTTGTCAGTTAGGGAAATACAACTGCGTTTTGGCTTGCAGGAAGGAATAGTGGATCCCCAGCTGAGTTCTTTGTACACGTAAGGCACTAGGTTCTTGGGGAACAAAGGTAGGGGTTAGAAATGCAGAAAGTTGAACAGAGAGTGAAATGACACAGGGCAGATCAGCCAGGAGCTAAGATGCAGAATCTGATGAGAGGTTCATGTAGGTATTCTTGGTAAACGGTATCATATCGTATCATATCATATCATGTCGTATCGTATCGTATCGTATCATATCATATCATATCATTCCATAGAATGGCCTAGGCTGGAAGAGACCTTAGAGATCATCTAGTCCAACCTCCCTGTCATGGGCAGGGATGCCACCTCTCGACTAGACAAGGCAACACATGTATGAGGTAGGTTTATTCCTCAGGAAGACAGCAAGACGTGGAGGTTGGAATTTAGGGACTTTGGGCAAAGCAGGTTGCAGGAAATCCACATATGCATGAAGGGTGAGAATGTGGACAATGAAAATCCAAACTACTACAGAAAGAGGGAGCCTGTTTCAGACCATTTGAGGACCAAATGTGAAATGGTAGTTGTGGCGGGGGAGGAGGGAGGTTTTTTGCACTCTTATGTGCAAGGTTTGTAATGTGAGATTTCTCTGCTTGGAGGGGAAGAGGGAGGCAGTGAACAACTGCTTCCACAATTCCTTATTATGCGTTAATGTAAAGTCAGTCACAGTTCATCCCCCAAGATAAAACTTGTCTTATGTGAGGTCTAAAGTTTTAGATAGCTGAAAAATAGATACCTTCCACATAAAAAAATTGCGATAGAAAATAGCCTTTCAAAATAAATGATTATGTTCTTTTGCAAATGAAAATTATGTA